CCAATCAGTCATCTATTACTAATGTTGAAATCTAACGCTTTTCATCCTCGGACTTCATGGTGTGCCGTAGTTGTATGGCACGTGACGCTATGCGGGGGAGAGGGAAGAGGATGGCGAAAGCCGCTAGCCAGATCTAAGCGATCTGGCCCACTTGTAGATGGAGAAATCCTTTTTTGGTATCTAGACAATACAACCCTAACTAGCACAACAACAATAGTAAGGAACTCATACATCCGCACCCCAGTTATCTCATACATCGTGACCCATAAACCTCACTCTCATATCTATCACTCCACGACAAAGCTTCAACAGCTAACACGTCCACCGAATCAATCGCTCCCAAGACGCTCGAAAGAAGTTGATTTTGCTGCTATGCTGCCCCCATGTCCATCCAATATTTTCCGGCACTTCATCACCACTCTCGGCCTGACCTGGGGCGTAAAAGATACGATGAATTGAAGGGAAGCTAGGGTAGGAGAGGATACATTAGTTGCGGCGTAGGTATTCTTTGCCTATGGACGTTAAACTACTTCTATATTCTTGAGCTGAGAAAGTATAGAAATAATCAAATGTAAACAGCAACCCTAGTTTCACTGCCTTATACTGACGTATGTATTTATTTCGGAAAAATGATAGTGTAATAATTTCATCGATTTTCTCAGGCGGCAGCTAGGACTGGCAAGTGATTTGATGCGATATGAGAGAGACATGTTGAAGTTTAAATTGTTTGTAGGTGACGAACTGTCACAAGGCCTGATAGTTCAGTGGTAGAATTCTTGCTTTGGGGAACCGAAAATGTAAGAGGTCTCCGGTTCGATCCCGGATTAGGCCCGCTTTTTTGTTTATGACGGCCTTGGAAATTTATGATTACCTTTCGGTGTAGACGGGAAGAGGGTCATCGCACCACTCGTAAAACCCACCTGTGAGCTTTGAAGCTAGTCATCTTGGAAGTTGGAAAACAAGCGCCTGTCATCGTAATGCCTCATAAACTTTAGATCTCAATGTACAGTCTGCAGTTATGAAACCATGTCATATCCATCCATATTTGAGCGCGACAAATGCTCTCTCCTGTAATATTTTTCCTTTTCATAGCACACAAGACGATCAAGACGACGATAATGATTCTTGAAATGGGGAAAGGGTATATTTTCTTTTAAAATATTTGATGTGTATTCAGCTATCTAGCTATGATACATGACCGGTGCTATGTATACATTTTGGATGACTCTTTTGACGTTAGAGACACTCATACTCTGGATATCATTCGCAAATACTACTATGAGGTACGTTCGCTTACACAAACAGTCGACCCTCCTCCGTAATTACCCACCAAAGGGACGTTTCAAAACCTTTGGTTATCCAAGCATACCTTCGTCATCCATGCATACCACCGCCGCGAGAAATGTGATTGTATTTGCCGGATTCGAACCAGCGATCTACTGTCTCGAGTGGGCTATGTGTCCAAGCTATCCAAACTCTACTTGGTAGACCGGCCAAGACGATGTACCACCGCAACATCCAACCACGGCGATGTTTACAGTGTCGCCTGCACTCTCGCAACCGAAGCCTTGGCACGCACAAAGCTCAATTTGTGAAAACTCCTTGCCAAAATTCAAAGTTCCATGCCCGTCGAGACTGTATCCATCCTTCGCATCATCTTGTGAACTTTTCCTGAATCCTCTCACGTCCATCACAAAGAACTGTCTCCCAGATTTGTGCGCCACGCTTCGCTTCCTCCATCGTGTGTAAACATCGGCGTGGGCGTGTATTTGATGACCGGCTGAGGCCAGAGAAGATCGAAGAGAGGTGTAGTCTTTTTTTTTTTTTTGCATCAGATTTTAATTGCGTATGCAGCTATCTAGCTATGACACAACATCAAAGAAAAGTATAGAATAGATGATTCAATTTAAAAGTAGAGCACTCATGCCTCAGATTTCATTTGCAAGTACCACTGCGAGGTTATTGGGGCTTTTTCTTCACCCCAAGTCAACCCTCATCCGTGAATACCCACCCAGGGGAACATCTCAAAAACCCTGAGTTATCCAAACATGCCTCCATCATCTTTCAACTTTTCTCTGCGCGAAATATGGTCTGATATATCTCCTTCCCAAATGGAGTAGGTGCCCAGGCTACTTAAACTATACCGGAGAACACCACCAGGAGGCGGACCACAACACCTCTCATCGTTTGCTTGTTTTTATAGTGTCAGCTGCACTCTCGCAAGCGAAGTCTTGGCGCGCACAAAGCCCAATTCGAAAAACTCCTTGCCAAAATTCGGAATCTCATGCCCTTCGAAATTATATCCTTCCTCTGTACCATCTTGTCAACTTGTCCTAATCCCTCTCACGTTCATTCCAAAGAACTGTCTCCCAGATTTGTGCGCCACGCTTTCCTTCCTCCGTCGGGTATAAATATCGGCGTGGGCGTGTATTTGGTGACCAGCTGAGGCCAGAAAAGGTCAAAGAGTGGTGTGGTCATTGGAATTAGGATGTACTTGGTCGTACTTGTAGGCTTGATGAGGCTTAGGTAGGAGTCGATCTCTTTGGGTGTGAAAATTTGACGTAATAGAGTCTTTGAATCATTGCCTTGTGAGACAACTTCTTTAATATTGCGAAATTTGACTGAACTTGGCTCTGGGAGAATATTCCACTCCCAGGTTCGTAGAGGACACCGCGTACAGGTGTTCAGTCTTGCCCTCCAGAGGTCCTAACCAATACTTTGCACAACACAATCATCACTTTTCAAGCCTTATTTAGTGGTTGGAATATTTCTCTGTTCGTGTCGGTGATAGTGCGAAGATCAGTGTAGACATGCTAAGAGTGTAATGGCGGGTGATTTTACGGTACTTCGTTTGTCCTCTCTCTCTCCACGCGAACTGGATTATAGGCTCTAGCGACAGATGTCCATGCTTCTCCCATTTACCCATATTTTTTCTTTATATTTTAACCTTTATTTTATTAAATATCATATCACTATATCTTAAAGGATACTGCTTATCAACCTATGAGGAAAATCAGAAGTAACATCCTTGCCGCGACAGATGCCATATCCGCATCTTTTCTTTTTCGTTGTGGCTGAAAATTTAGTTATTACCGTAGAATGCCAATTTTCGACCTTTAATAAATAAGGAGCAGTAATTTTGAATTATTTTTTCGGAGCTATATACAATCTGCACTTAATGTCAAACCATACTGTGGGACATGAATTAATGCAAGTGGTCCGTGTGTTTCTACATATTTCGTAGCAAGATACTCGTATGTGTGTTGAATGATAAGCAAGGTTAGCACTTTTAGAACGATAAGCACATGATCGGCCGGCAACTTTTTGGACGGCATTGAATGATAAGTGTGACGTGTTCTTCGTATTTTTCCCCACGGAATCGTACAGATTGATATGTTATCCTTGACGAATCCTTGCCATTAGCTGCGTTACCGAATCTTGACAGGTTTTCCCAACATCGTGATTCGCATCAATTTGAAATGATGTACGCATATTCCGGATCTCAGACACGACTTAGCCTCCCATCCCTTGCATAGTTTAAGACGTACTGACAGCAGTGACAGTTTCTCCACACGGCATGACTACATCGAGCTCTCGGCTGCGTGATGATTTTTTACTCCAGCTGTACACTGGGTGAAACCGTTACCACAGTCAGAAGCTCGCTCTAAACAGGGTTCCCTTGTCGAAAAATTATTGGGCTGTTTGGTTACAGTCTCATTAGACCCAAATTTGACGAGTGTATGATTTATTCCCATCTATGGGAGACTTTGGCGCTCCCGGTATGACGCACGATAGACGCTCTAATGAAAAGTGCCTGCTGATACAATGACGTTTGGCCGGATTCCGATTTATCAACTCAACCGAAACAGCGGGTGAATGGTACGAGTTAACTTCTTTTTCATTGTAATTCACGCCCAACAATACCACAGTTTCTATTTGAACATGCATGATTGCGAACAATACCACTTTAGAATACAACGTGGATACAATTGATATTGGTTCGTGAGATAAACAAATTCTCTCCTGGCTACAAAATCAACAATAACTTGATTATCTACAACACTGCGGCTTGATGGTGCAGATCTAAGTCTTGGCACCAGGGTGTACGAGCTCTATCCTCGCTCCCCTGCTTAATCTGTGCTGAGCTGTTGAGCTTCAGACGGAACCGGGTTCCATCTGATGTGTGTTGACCGCCTTCATCACCTGACACTTACCGCGATGCCAAAAGGCGTTCTGGAATGTTTATTTTGAGAAATCACAAATCACCATCCACAGCAGTCTTACGCGCTGATTCGGTATCGTAACATATGTCGAGTGTGGATCCGGCACATACCCAATATTTAAAGACTTAAGGTACCAAGGACTGCAAAAGTACCGGTGGATATCTGATTCTATTTCACCTAAATCGCGATAACCAGTTGCAGAGAGTCTAATCCCTCTCAAACCCGTTTGGCTATGAGATAGCTGCTCCAAAATGATGAGACAGGCGAAAGCCGCAGTTGTTTTCACCTGTTGGTTCAAAATTCTTTATCTCTAAGAAAAAAGCACTAATTTCATAATTGCATGGCATTAGCTTCGATTAGTCCTGGGATCAGCAAGATATCTATGAGGGGTGTAGGGCTTGCAAATTTCTAAAAGCAAATAAATGTAGTAGAGGCGACAGGTTGGAGGTATTCAGATCTCACCACTTTGAGCAGCTACACGTGATATCAAATATACCCCTCGTCAGCGGGGTTGAGGGGTTGTTTCTTCTTGCCGCATTGGATCATCGCCCACCCAAGCAACTGCCTCCCAACAAACAGAAGAATCCCTACTTGTGCTCAACATCCTTTTGGGTATAAGTTTATGTCATGAACCCTCTTCCTGACTGAATTTTGCAAGCCATTCTCTTCTCATACCCTTCCACATCGAGTACATTTAGCAAAGTTAATCTCTGTTTCTTGAAATATTCAAAACTGATTCTGTCTAAATAAACGATCTCCTTCGCGACCAATTAAAACATGGTCCAATCGTAAGTAACATAATTCTCATTGTTTCAAATTTCGAATACATCTAACACTTCATCACAGATCAGTTCTCGGTTTCCCGCGCATGGGTGTCAATCGTGACCTTAAGAAAGCAACAGAGGCTTACTGGGGTGGAAAAATTCAGCAGGAAGAGCTTCTTGCTGAAGCTAAGCGCCTCAGACTCGCACACTGGAAAATACAAAAGGATGCCGGCGTTGATATTATTCCAAGCAATGACTTTGCTATGTACGACCATGTCCTTCACCAGATTCAAGACTTCGGTGTATGTCATTGTATTCTGTTACCTGGTGAGATACTGACTAACAAATAGGCCGCGCCGCCTCGCTACACCAAACACGGACTCAATCCAGTTGATGAGTATTTTGCCATGGGACGTGGTATCCAACGGGACGGAGTAGATATTACGAGTCTAGAGATGGTTAAATGGTTTGATTCAAACTACCATTACGTCAAACCTACATTCCAGGACAATCAAGAATTTAAGCTGAACCCTAATCCAAAGGCACTCAAAGATTTTCTTGAGGCAAAAGAAGCGGGCATCATGACACGCCCAGTGATCGTGGGTCCCATATCATTTCTACACCTCGGAAAAGCTGATCGTGACCAAACTGTGCAACCTATCAGCCTTCTCGAGAAACTCATCCCGGTTTACGTTGAGCTCTTAACCCAACTCAAAAATGCCGGGGCTGAATATGTTCAAATGGACGAGCCAATTCTCGTACAGGACCTTCCCCAAGAGGTCAAGGCTGCATTTTCCTCTGCATACGACAAATTTATTGCACAGGGCAAGAAGATCCCCATGTTGGTGATGGCAACCTACTTTGGAGATATCGTTCACAACTTGGATGCCATACCGAAGGAAATTTACGGACTTCACGTAGATTTGGTACGAAATCCAGAACAACTGGATCAAGTGATAGGAGCTATCGGCACGACAACAGTTTTGTCCGTTGGTGTCGTTAATGGACGCAACATCTGGAAAACAAATCTCAAGACAGCCATCGAGATTGTAGAAAAGGCCATTCAGAAACTTGGATATGGTCGTGTTATTGTTGCAACTTCAAGTTCTCTTCTACACACCCCTCATACTCTAGTGAGCGAGAAAAAGCTGGACTCTGAAATTAAAGATTGGTTTGCATTTGCCACTGAAAAGGCAACTGAAGTATCTGTTATTGCAAAAGCTGTCACAGATGGCCCAACCTCAGTCAAAGAGATTCTAGAAGCAAATGCCAAGTCGATTCAATCCCGAGCCACCTCAAAGCGAACTAACAACCCACAAGTTAAGGAACGCCAAGCCAAGATAACGGCTGAGATGTACAACAGACAGTCTGAATTCCCTGTTCGTATTGCGGCACAGCAAAAGTCCTTAAATCTGCCTTTATTCCCTACAACCACGATCGGATCCTTCCCTCAAACAAGTGAAATCCGTATTCAGCGTAACAAATTTGCCAAAGGTCAAATTACAAAGGCTGAATATGAAAAATTCATCGAAAAGGAGATTGAGGAGGTAGTCCGGGTCCAAGAAGAGCTCGATCTTGATGTGCTTGTACATGGTGAGCCAGAAAGAAATGATATGGTTCAGTATTTCGGCGAGCAGTTAGACGGATATGCTTTTACTACTCATGGATGGGTCCAATCTTACGGGTCTCGTTGCGTTCGTCCTCCAATTCTCGTGGGAGACGTATCCCGCCCCTCACCCATGACTGTCAAGGAGTCAAAATATGCTGCCTCTCTCACTAAAAGACCAATGAAGGGCATGTTGACTGGTCCAATTACCTGTTTGAGATGGTCATTTCCCCGAGATGATGTTCATCAATCAGTCCAAGCTGAGCAATTGGCACTGGCCTTACGTGATGAAGTTGTTGATCTTGAAGCTGCTGGAATTAGCGTAATCCAGGTCGACGAACCTGCTCTACGTGAGGGTCTACCACTTCGCTCTGGCTCAGAGAGAGAGGCTTACTTGAAATGGGCCGTGGAATCTTTCCGCCTCTCAGTCTCTGGGGTGAAAGACTGTACCCAAATTCACTCTCATTTCTGCTACTCTGAATTCCAGGACTTCTTTCATGCCATAGCAGCTCTAGACGCAGATGTCCTCTCGATCGAGAACTCTAAATCAGACGCCAAACTGTTGAGGGTCTTTATCGACGAGGCGTACCATCGTCACATCGGTCCGGGTGTGTATGACATACACACTGAGCGCATTCCTAGTGAGCAAGAGATTAAAGACCGAATTGAGGAAATGTTACAGTTCCTGAAGCCAGAACAGCTATGGATTGATCCTGATTGTGGACTTAAAACCCGCAAGTGGTATGAGACCAAAGCAGCCCTTGTGAACATGGTTAATGCCGCTAAATTTTACCGTGAAAAGTACAGCAAGAATTAAGGCAGAAGTATTCGTGCCGGGATGAATGATGATATTGATTTGGTGGGAGCTGGGAACGATCTCAACATCGGCGTTTCTGGCTGGGCGGTAAAAGCATTGTCATCGTCAGGCATTGTGGGAGTGGTGTGGTTTCAACATCAGAATGACTGATCAAAAATGTTAAGTAGTATGGGGAAGAGTTAGTGTCATTTAGTAGTTTAACTAAATTCGGCCATGTGAGAGATGATATGCGTGTCACAACCCTGATTTGTGAAGCTCAATTCCGTGACAGTAGAAGATAGTATTAACCTTTTATTTTTACCACCTTAAAACAGTCTTTGAGTAGGAGGACTGTTCTCATTACCTGCTACTGGTTGATTGGGCTGACCTGCGTGCCCAGCCTTGCATTTAGTTCGGACTTTGCGCAAAAGTCCCAGCCTTACCCAGACAACGAGTTCACTCAATTGAGCCTATGTAAGGTAATCGTTAAGGCGCACTTTGTGTCCGCTCGACACAGTTGTAGTTAACTCTCCCATAGAAGATTATTAATCATTTATGGTATTGCCTGCGTGCGCTGACCGTCTGCTTTAACCGTTCACAAACCTGTCGGTGGTGTCTCCTACGAACCTCCAGCCTTCACTGTAGAGTCTACAGAGCCGAGATTGAATAACAAAGTCCTCACTTCGAAGAGGATTCCCAATCGCTTTCGCGGTCTGTATCGTCTTCATCTCTCAACACATTCCCCTATCACCATTATCATGAAGCTAACCACGACCAGATCAGATGGTAGAGTCGGAGCCCTACTAATCACCCACCCTTGATCATGGAGGAGAAGCCATCCGATGAGTTTGCGGAGCGTACCCAGCACCCGATACGGAGATGGTGGATTGGATAAAGTCGACCTCGATTGTAACAAGGAAGGGAGATATAAATGAATATGCGCAGCTTATGTGGTCCCGGGGTCTAGGCCTCTTTTTTTTTTTTTTTTTTTTTTTGGGTAGAAGATTCCATGGAAAAGGTGGCTGAATTCCACGGGTAACTACTGAGTTGGATGACTATTCATCACGGGCAATATATCAATGATCTTTGAATTAACATAAAAGGTAAGGAGTACTGTACAAGGTGTGGCCTGGGTCAAAAAGGAGCCCAATGTGCTAGATAGTCATAGACTCAAGTAGTACAATAAACATACCTCTCTCTCTCTCTGCCGTATACACCGGTTCTGTACCGATAGTGGACTTTGAGCATTAGTTTAGGACCTTAAAATCAAAAAAAATCGAGAAGTTCGAAAATTCACATTTTCCTTTTTTCAACTCATCTTGGTATCGTCGCATCCATCTTTGAATTGTGATCGAGGCTAGGGATTTTCACCATGCTTCCTGTTCGCAAAAAGCGTCCTAACGCCAAGTTGGACAACACGAAAGTCCACCCGAGGGCTCTCGAACAATTACCTGGCCTTGTCCAGTCTCCGAAATGCGCGGAGATGAGCAAGGTCTCGACTAAATGGAAGAAAAAAGCTCTCCCCGCCGTCGCTGAACCCGATACTGACATGATCGGGTCAGTTGAAATTGTTGAGAAAATCCCTCAACCACCCTCTGTCCCCCACAGGATTGGAGAATCGTCCAAACCTCCTCCGACCACGCAAATACCCTCGGAGAACGCTGCACCCAAAGCAGCGTCAAAATCAACGTCGCAGCCCGAAGCTGCCACGAAAGCAGAGTGTCCCCTCGAGCTCCGACCAATTGTCGAAGCTGAGCAACGACGCACCGCCGAAACAGCGGCAAACCTGGCCCTCTGCTCTGCCGCCATCTCTGGCGTCGAAGCCACCCTCCACCCTCCTCTATTTGACCTGTTGGTCAAATGGACAATTCGTAGACTCGATGAGAGTCTAACTACGCGTCGCTATCGCGCAATATATGGCCACGGGCCCGGCCATCACGCCACCCGTCCTCCCTCCTCGCCCGGCGAACCCTCTCCCAAGGGCTCCCGATGCCATGAGCATACCAATTCCCGCCGTCCTAGTGCAGCCCGTCAAAAGCACCTAGGCTACGGTGGCTAGAAACGGACTGCGACAAAAAGCAGTACCAACTGTAAAGGCTGTGCCGCGACCTGCGGCTAAAGCCCCAAATAAAGACGCCCCGGAGGCAAAAGTCGACAAACAATTATTCCTTCGCCTTGAAAAGGACCACCCGTGGCGCAAACTGTCCACCTACGTCGCGAGAGACCGAATGGAGAGTAGCATGCATTACATGCCTGATAATATCAGCTCGTTCAATCGAGTGAAAAATGGCTTTGCTATGATGGCAAAGAACGAAAATTCACGACAAGAGATGTTAGATACGTCTTCGGAGCTGGCGAGTGTTAACGCCAAACTCGAAGCATCTTCAGATCTTGTAGCCTTACAGATACCGAACGTACCTGTAAGTTTAGTTACAGAGAGCGGCCCCAGAGCGATCGATGCTGAGTGGGTCTTCGCCAAGATCACCCTTACGACCGGCGTGAGACCAATCCAGGTCCGACCTCATGGGACGTTTCGACCTGGGGCACCATATCGAAACTGGCATGCCCTTTTCGACCGGGACTCCGCCCCTTCGAAGAGTCTGGTATGGCTACCATCCACAAGCCTCGTCGACCAATTGAACAGTGCAAACGCTGTTAGGGCTTCCACGCTACTCGTGGTTGCTCCCGCGCTCCAGCCTACTGGAACTGCGGATCTAACATGCACTCGGAAGCCAAGTGCAAGGCCATCACTTAGTGTAGTGAAGAAGCATGAATTTTTATTTATTTATTTATTTATAATATCTAACGTCGTGCCCGCGCACAGCACGTGAGTTCTTCACGTACCGGTTAGCCCAGTCTAAATTAAACTACCGAACGTGTTGGCGCCCCCACAGACCCCTCAAAGCAAATAATAGCTAGGATTTTATCATCCTACGCTCGAAGATTATAGTGTACATTAAGGTCGTCCGTCCAACGAATCTCATGCTATGCTGTTGGTACTAAAAGCATGAAGTTTTATTGTGGTGCTATCTAGCATTAAGTACATGGTATCACGTGATATATAGAATCCACTATATTTAGTGTCGTAACTGTGGGGGACCTCACCGATCGGATTCCCGAGACTGCCAAGCCAGAACTAGAAAGTCCGGGCCGGTGACCAAAGAGCAGCTCGCGTGGATTCGTCACATCGAGTAAGGGAGGTAATCGGAAGTGGTACAAGCTTGGGCTGTGGTCAAAAGTGTTGTAAAAATCTGAGTTCATAACTGCACACACCTTCAGGGGATAACTATGCACCAGCATAGTTAACCCCTAAGAGTCTGATCATTATTGCCTCCTGGTCGCTACACACTAACATCAACGTGTTCACTACAATGAGGACACCATTGTAGTTACTCTAGCTATCATAGACAATAACATGTAGAGGAATAAGGGTAGGAACTCCTGTATATAGATAGGGCCTTTTTACTCTCAGTATCTACATCCATCATCCACAAATACAATTCACCATCAATCAATCATATTGCTCTGTCCAAGTGATCTATTGAATTCTCCCATACCTATCAGTATTCTATTCACAAGGTGACGTCTCCCTATCCATCGCCCTCAGCCTTTCAATAAATAGGGCCGAAGAGGCGATCATTGCCTCAGCGAATGATGTCTCGATGGCCGAGGGATCAGGTTTCAGAGCTCTGGAATCTGAAGAAGAAGAAGAAGAAGCTTGAGGATACAGCGACCTCGATGATATCCTTTTTAGGGCATTTACTAACCAATAGCAGGATACCGGCTAGATCAAAAGTGCCTGCTATCCAATCTCTTGCTCTCAGCAGAGATCGGGTACATTTTTCATTTGGCAGGTGTGAAGGATGATGGAATTTGCGAGGAGCGCATTGCTTGGGTCCAACATGGGGGAATCTTCTTTTTTTTGGAGTTGTATTGATTTTCGTGATTCTTTGTTTCTATTTTAGCAACTGCACCTTTAGCGGCTATTCACGAGGTTGGAAAGAGTTAGGCTGTAGGAAAAATTACAGAGAACCCAACTTGCCCCACCTGTCCTACACCCACAGTGGGCATAAAGCTGTATTTTGGGACCATTTGAGCTAAAAATAATTCGAGAATTTGATAAAATTTTGCCCTGTTAGCCCATCTCACACCTTAAAATCACATATCGAATATTAAAACATCAATCTCTCGTGGTATTGCGCCACTCAGCCTTAAATTACCACCGGTAGCCCCAAGAACCGCGAAAAACGCGAAATCCGTGTTATCCACAAAAGTAGGGAAGCCAACCACCAGACGCGTCTAGAGACGCAAAAGAATATGCGGCGAATAGCAAGAAACGTGGCAACAAGCCAAATGAGGGAAAGAGGACTGGCTCCAACCGCCACCGATCTCAACTAGAGGGAAGTTGACATCGCCTTGCAGATGGAAGAACGTGGCCAAACAGAAATTGAGATGTCGGAGGTCGAAGTAATAATTCAGGGCATGATCAAATAGGGGATAAAGGACTCGCGATGGGCAGACGTTGGAACTGAGAGTTTCTAGAAGGCGTCGGCCTTATCCAAAATTGTCGACAAAGTAGCCTCGGCGAAAATAGCATCCGAATCCGCAAGCGTTGCGGCTCGAGAAATTGCGGTTCCCGTGGCAATGTGGAAACCAATTCAAAGAACATCGAGGGGAACGGAAGCCCCACTAACGCTGAAGCCGCCCCCGGCCGCGATTCCAGGGGCAGCTGAGAGCGACAATCACTCTGCTGGTGGTGCTTCCACCGGTACGGCACAAAATCATCCGCTAGAAACCGAAGCTTTGCTGAGAGTGGGCTGCAAACATCTCAGCCAGGCTCGAAATAGGCCCGACGGTTTTGAGCACATTAGAAAGCTTTATCTTGCCACTGAAGACGACGGATAACAAGGAGTCCTTGGATGCGATGAACTCGTGCCTTAGGGGTGCCCTCGCCTACTTCCTGTTGTAATTAAGGCAGCAACATGACTGCAGTAGACAAATAGTACATTTTAGAATAATAT